ACGAAACTGTAGTTGTAAATGAGACTGTCTAGATTCAAACCAAATAAATTTTGGTTTATAGCCTTTATCATTTAATGTTATCTTTACTTTTAAAAACAGAAATCACCTAGCCTGTCTTGAAAGGCCCAACCTGCCCATGACATATGTGTACAGAGCACACAGGAGGAGAGCCAGACTTCACACTACCAGCAAATACAACATGGAGGCTTTGAAATTCTTGAGGTAAAAAGAAGAAAATAATGCTGAGTGAAAGGCCATTTTGTGACCAACGCTGTGGCTAAACAGATTAATGCTTTCCAGGGTTTTATTCGAGTTTACATTAAATCCAGAGCAGGTACTTGACAATCACAGTAGGGGCTTCTTCATGACTTATAATCGGAACACACTGGTTGGCACCCACCACAGCACATCTGGAGTTTGTTAGACAACCTTTAATTTTTATGTTTGCCATATGCCCTGGCTCCTTCTTCTGATGCAGCCTATCCAAGTGCTGCATTACCATGAATGAATCAAGGAGACACATTACCCTGGGATGTGTATGTGTGGGTATAAGTAAATCAGGACCATCTTAGAGGGCGACCGCAAAATCTGTAAATCCCTGTTGCTTCACCTCTTTCTGACAATAGGAATCACACGTGAATGCCAACAGCCCATCAGGCAGTGGCAGGTCCATTTATTGAACAGCCTGGTCAGTGCCGACTACTTCCTTATTAGAAAATGCCGTTAGATTGAGACATTTCAGCAATTCAAGGACTAGAATCTTTAAATTAAAATAACATTGATGTCATATCCACTTTCAAAAAGTTAGTACATACTTAGAGAAATTAAAGAATCAAAACTTATTTGGCAAGACCAGTTTCTTCTTGCTCACAGCATCTAAGACACATTTTTAAAAATTAAACTTTATTGGGGTAAGATTGGTTAATAAAATTATATAGGTTTCAAGTATATAATCCTATGATACACCATTGTATATCGCATTGTGTGCTGACCACCCAAGGTAAATCTTTTATCACCATATATTTGGCCCCCTTCCCCCTTTCCTACCCTCCCCCATTCCTCTAGTAACCACCATACTGGTGTCTATGTCTCTGGGTTTTTGTTTATTTGGTTTTCTTGTTTGTTCATTTGTTGCTTTCTGTATTATATACCACAGATGAGTGACATCACATGGCTCTTGATGTTTTCTGTCTGCTTATTTCCCTTAGCATGATGTCACAAATAAGACATGGTACATAAATACAACAGAATATTACTCAATCATGAGAAAAGATAAAATACTCCCAGACACATTTTGAGAGGGCAGCTATGTGAAACTTTATATGGAAGGGAGATAGAAAAACAGTTAGGAAAGACTCCTAAAAACTACTTTATCTTTCTCCATTTATAGGTCACATCACTACAAAACATTCAGGGCATATAGTTAGATGTAAGATACTAGGAATTTTTCAGTGACTCCTAATATTATAAATTCATGGATTAATTAATATCATAACTCTTATCTATTGAAACCATATAGTCTTGTAGTTGTGAATGAGTCAAATCATCAAAAGTCACTGTGAATGAAATACAGAATTCTAGTCTGCTAGACTTGTTATTCTACTTTGTGTCTCAGGGTGGAGGGAGCATAAATGAATGTAATCATATGTCTGTATTTTTAGGCCTAACTACTACTTAAGATAACTGATATTGCTAAATATATATATACTCACAAACTAGTGAAAGTCTTTCTTCAACAATGTCCTTCTAATTCATATTATCAGCTCCCCTCCCTTTATTGAGGTACTAGAGGCATAGGGCATGAAATTCTTGCACAGGGGTGTGTATCCCTCAGCCAAACCTGCACCCTCTCCAATCTAGGACCCCTCGGGGGATGTTTGACTGCCGGGCCTAAACAGGCAGTTGGACATCCCTCTCACAATCCTGGCTCCCAACTGCTCGTCTGCCTGCCTGATTGCCCCTATCCGCTTCTGCCTGCCAGCATGATCACCCCTAACCACTCCCTTGCCAGCCTGATTGATGCCTGCAGACTTGATTGTCCCCAACTGCCCTCTCCTGACAGCCCTGTCACCCTCAAATGCCCTCCCCTGCATATTCCCTCTTTATTAGATAGGGTTTTTTCTTTAACATATTGGACAGCCCTAACTGGCTTGGATCAGTGGATGGAGCAATGGCCTGCAGAATCAAGGGTCCCAGGTTTGATTCCAGTCAAGGCCATGTACCTTGGCTGGGGGCACTTACCCAGTGGGGACTGTGCAGAAGGCAGCTGATCGATGTTTCTGTTTCTCTCTCATAGATGTTTCTAGCTCTCTACCCTTTCCCTTCCTCTCTGCAAAACATCAATAAAATATATATTAAAAAAGAAACATTTAAGATTCCTACAGATGGAGCCTGTTTGGCTCAGTGATAGAGCATCGGTCTGTGGACTGAAAGGTCCCAGGTTCGATTCCGGTCAAGGGCATGTACATTGGTTGCGGGCACATCCCCGGTAGGGGGTGTGCAAGAGGCAGCTGGTCGATGTTTCTCCCTCATTGACATTTTTAGCTCTCTATCTCTCTCTCTTCCTCTCTGTAAAAAACAAAAAACAAAAAAACAACAACAATAAAATATATTAAAAAAAAAAAAAAAAGATTCCTCCATATCTGCCTGGCTGGTGTGACTCAGTGGCTGAGTATCCAGCTTGAGATCCCAGGCTGGGGGTGTGGACCCAAAGGCTGCTTGTTGCTGGAGCATTCCCAAGTGGCTGCAGGTGGACAGAATGTCCCTGACCCGCCCCTGCAGCTTGGCGCCTGCACTCATAGGCTCTGAATGGCCAGGGGGCATTCTGGGACCCAGCCGCTCAGAGCCTAAGAGCCTACATGCTAGGAACAGCCTGTGTCCAGAGGATGTTCCTGTTGCCTGGGAAACCCAAGCATCCCTCCTGCTCCTTGTGGCTGTAGCCATCTTGGCTGGGTTTATTTGCATACTCGTTCTGATTGGTTGGTGGGCAGGGCTGGTGGGCATGGCTTGTGATTATAGCGGAGTGATGGTTATTTTGCATATTACTCTTTTATTAGGTAGGATAACTGAGACATATAAATTGTATATACATAATGTGTACAATGTGGTGTGTGTGTTTTTTTTCCCCCTATTTTTTGTGGTGTTGAAATAATTTGAAATAATTATCATAATGAATAACTGACATTTTCATCACTTAACATGGTTACCTTTTTTGTGTGGTGAGAACACTTAAGATCTATTCTCTTAGCAAATTTCAAACATACATATAGTATAGTATAATTAACTGTAATCACCATGTTATACATTAGATCTCTGGAACTTTTTCATTTGTGTAACTGAAACTTTGTACCCTTTGATCAGCATCTCCCCATTTTCCCCACCTTTTAAGCCTATGGCAATTAGCACTCTATCATATTATCAGCTTTGATAAATCAAATTTCAATTTTGAACTACTGGATAGATTATCTTTAATAAGCACATTTTTTCTATTTTACTAATAGACATCCAAATATTGGATGATGTCCTCTTCTTGTGACAAATTATTTTAGGACACTGGAAAAGTTTTCTTTCACTTGTAAATGAGTAATGGGTTGTTTCTGCTGCTCATCTATCTATACTATAGAAAAGGGACATCTTTTGGTATTTTCTCAGCTTATTGTGTAAATATTGATTCTTATTAAGTTGAATATGAAATGTTATGCCAAAAATGATATCAATTGATGATTACCCAAAACAGAAAAGAAGAAACCCTTTCAATTGAAAAACTTTCTCTAATTACTTCAGGTAGAAGAACAAATCTGGCAGCCTAAAGGCATAGAAAATGTGACAGAATAATGCAGGGGATGATAATGGAAGATGGGATTCCAGGCACTGAAAATCATACAGGAACAGCCAAAAAAAAGTGTTAATTATACAGGAGACTCAGATTTAAAAATTCAGCTTTATCCTTAATTTCAAAGATGATTTTTTTCCTCTTGTTTTAAAATTGTGGTAAAATATACATTAACATAAAATTTACAATTATATCAATTTTAAATGTATAAGTTCTGTCCATTAAGCATATTTACACAGTTGTGCAAACATCACCAAAGGACACATTTGTAGCTTTCATTTTCACAGATCAAAGGTCTTACAGAAATATTAATCATTAAATTTGAGGAGGGTTTATGTTGGAAAAGGGCAAAACTTTGTTCTTACCTTTAGAGACTACCTAGCCCTGAATAACTGAAAATCATTTAAATAACAATATTTAGTGCATTCTGTAGTAGGAACCTAATTGGATATAAAAATAAGCCTTTTCGCGGAAACCGGTTTGGCTCAGTGGGTAGCGAGTCAGCCTGGGGACTGAAGGGTCCCAGGTTCGATTCTGGTCAAGGGCATGTACCTTGGTTGCAGGCACATCCTTAGTGGGGTGTGTGTGTGTGTGTGTGTGCAGGAGGCAGCTGATCGATGTTTCTCTCTCATCGATGTTTCTAGCTCTCTATCCCTCTCCCTTCCTCTCTGTAAAAAACCAATAAAATATATCTATATCTATCTATCTATCTATCTATCTATCTATCTATCTATCTATCTATATGCCTTTTCCATTTCAAATTGGCAGAATTTCACTAATTTCATCCAATCATTGCACAAAATCAAAAAATATTCTCATAGAAGACGTGTGTGATATTTTCTAAACCAATACTCTTTCAAAAAATACTCAGCATTTACTAGACATAGGCAGAGATTTGAGAAGATGAAAATCCCTGCTTATGAAGATTATGCCATATACAGATGATGTATCATGGAATTATATACATGAAACCTATATAATTTTATTAACCAATGAATTTAATTTAAAAAAAATATAAAAGTCCTAAAAAAAAATAAGAAAATTAATTAGATACAAAGATCAGATGTCTTCTATGACAATAAGGCCTAACATGTAAGCCAGTAAAGATATGGGTGAGGGAGAACTGTGTGAAAGCTGGTCCCATTCCCCTCTAGGCATTTAATTTTACCTGCTGCTTGAGCTGCTGCACCAGGCGATCCTTCTCCCGCTTCAGTGCTGCCACTTCCTCTTGGGTCTTTTTCTTAGAGGACGAAAGTTCCAAAAGAGCTATATTGGCATCTTTTTCACTGATGGCAGCCAGAAGAGCTTCCTGCCTGAAAAAAAAAGAAAATGCCAAGACTTTCATTTAATCCTCACAATTCTTTGAAGTTACTATTATTATTACCTCCATTTTATGGGTGATGAAACTAAGGCTTAGGTTAGTATATGTGACTTGCCCATGTTTGCACTTGAAGTAAACGGTGCAGCCAGGAATCCCATTCAAATTTCTCTGACCCTAAATGTCTTTATTATGTTGTTATACTGACATCTCAATGAAGAGTTCCTAGATATAGGTAAACAGTAAACAAGATTAAAGATTTTTTTAAAAGAATAATCTTGTCAATTTTTGATAACTATTTAGTAGCTTCCATGCAAGACAAGACATTATTGAAACTGAAAACTTTTTTTTTTTTTTAATTTTCTCCTGAGGATATGTTTTCATTGCTTTTTAAAAAGAGAGGAAGTTGGGGTGGGGGGGGGGGTGGGGGGAAAGAAAGGAGAAAAGGAGAGAGAGAGAGAGAGAGAGAGAGAGAGAGAGAGAGAGAGAGAGAGAGAGAGAGAGAGAGAGAGAGAGAGAGAAATATAATCTAGATGTGCCCTGACCTGAAATCGAACCCACAACTGTTTGATATACAGGACGACACTCCAACCAAATGTGCCACCTAGCCAGGGCTAAAAACATTTTTATGTATAGAGTGTGTAACAAACTGTAACTGTTACAAAATAGGATTTAGAAAATCAGTCATCTGTTTCTGGGGCATTCTGAATGTCTATAATTCTTTTTATAATATCTCATTAATGCAAGTAAGTTTGCCAATGATCTGTGCACTTTGAAACAGTAATTTAAGCTTTACAGATTCCTTGTGATTTAAGTAACTACTTTTTGGTTAATATACAGGAGGAAAATAAGGTGGGATTTAGTAGGGAGTGAACATGAAAAATTTACAAAATAATCAGAATGAAGTTAGTGAATCTCAGTGTTTAAAATGCATTCCTCAATAGCTCATCTTTTATGTAAGTCATCTGTAAGAAGACGGATTTGATTTACAGGAATTATGTGACCTGAGCTTTTGACTCAAGGGAATGCTGAATCTGAAAATGCATTTCCCAAGTTTAACGTGGCTTCCGTCTTTGTTAAGATAATTACTAATAAGATTTAATAGCAGTCATATGGAAGAGTTTAATTTAGCCAAAACTGGAAGACTATATTTTGACAAGAATATTTTGCATTTTGGATGGGTAGGTCTGGGGAACTTTGAACAAGCAGTACTAACAAAAGGAGAAGGTAGATTAGTTTATATTATGGAAATGAAAATTTGTTTAACTAGTCTCTGCTGTTGGAAAGGGAGATTCTTAATGACCTCAATTTAACTTTCTACTGTTCCCACACACTATATAATTCTGAGATATAGCAGATGGCTTATCCCATGAAGCCTTAGTCAACACCAAAGGGATAATGACAGTCTAAATATATCCACTGACCACTTGAAAAAAATATGTTAAGTGGTGAAATGAGCTTAAAGGTGAAGGAGTTCAAGATGGTGTCACAATGCCATTTCCTGTTGATGGCCATCATCTGTTACTTTTTTGGGAAGCTCAGACTGACAAAGCTGAAATGAGAAATGTGTTTTCTCAATTAGGGCACTGCCTCTCTGGACACTTTTAGCAGCAGAGAAAGAAAAGATGAATGAAAAATAAGATTATTCTATTCAATTAGATCTAGTCATGAGCACCTTTGCTGAATGCAGAATACAAAGGTGAAGGGCTCTCAGTGCCATTCTATGTTTAAGAAAAGCATCATAATATGAAATAGTAAAATTATTCTGTATTGTTGAAGCTTTGTGACTAAGTTCCAAATTCTTTTATATATGTATTCTTGGCTAGTTAGTGTAATACAGTTAATCTATGGGGTAAAATGTCACATTCTCAAACTGTAATTTGATATAGCAGGTGACAATTCAGATTATAAAATTTAAAATATAGCATGTGTCACCGGAAGCTGAGCCATTGAGATGGCTTATTAATAAGATGTATATTTTATAGTCTCTTTTTGTTTCATATACAATTCAAATAGAAATTTTATTATGTCTATTTATCTTATATTGAGCATTGATAATATACTACAAACTACATAGAATCAAACTTTCTCTCCCATACCCATAGCTCTCAGCCTCTAAAAATCCCCTAATAGATTAACATGCCACTGTCTTTTCCATTTTAAAAGTATACTCTTGAGACTGATTTCTAAATGTGAATGTGCCTAAAGAGGGCAATTTATAGTCAAGAAAATGAAGTGGCCGAGACCGGTTTGGCTCAGTGGTAGAGCGTCGGTCTGCGGACTGAAGGGTCTCAGGTTCGATTCCGGTCAAGGGCATGTACATTGGTTGCGGGCACATCCCCGGTAGGGGTGTGCAAGAAGTAGCTGGTCGATGTTTCTTTCTCATTGACATTTCTAGCTCTCTATCTCTCTCCCTTTCTCTCTGTAAAATATCAATAAAATATATTTAAAAAAAAAAAAGAAAATGAAGTGTTTTATCACATATTGTACTTATTATACTCATGTAAAAGCTGTATGATGTCTAGATATATTAGCTTTTGGGTGTTCTTTTTCAAGTGTTTGGAAAGGGATGGAGATAGTATTGTTCATTTTGTCCATAATTTTGGTAAATTTGAAATGGACAGACAGGAGAGAACCACCTCTTAAAAACTGAAAGTTAGGTAAGAATATAAAAGCTAATAAACAGCAATAGCCATCTAACTTTTAGGGAATAAGAGAAATTGTTCCCTGCCCTAGCTGGTATGGCTTGGTGGATAGAGCATCAGCCTGTGAAGTGAAGGGTCCTGAGTTTGTTTCCAGTCAAGGGTACCTGCCTGGGTTGCGGGCTCGGTCCCCAGTAGAGGGCGTGCATAAGGCAGCCAATCAATGATTCTCTCTCATCATATCTCTTTCTCCCTATCCCTTCCTCTCTGAAATCAATATATATACATATATATATATATATATATATATATATATATATATCCCTTAATACATCTGATAGAAAAGTCCATATGATATAGTTGAGCTTACGTGGTTGTTTTAAAGACAGCACTCAAAAAAATGTCTAAACGAAAAACTTTGTTAAGAACAGGAAATGGAATTCAGAGTAAAAAATCAAATTGCAAAAGCATCTTATTTTAGTAGCTACCGACTTTTAATACAATTTGCTTCCATGAAAAATTTTCTGATAAAGTGTAAAATGAAACTACCCTTGAATAATAGAGTAAAAATAAGTAAACATGTACCATTTGTTTTATACTTACTATGTGCTTATTCCTATTTAGTACTTTGTAGGCAATGACTTGTTTACTTATAATGACAACTCTATAATGTGGATACAATAATTTTTTCCATGTGGTAGATAAAGAGACTGAGAATAAGATGGAGGGAAAAAATTAATATGTGTTCATTGAAGAAAAATGAAAAGATAAAGGAAACTATAAGATCTGGAATTCACCTATTCTAATTCTAACATAGTTTGAAGAAAATGAACCTTAATGGGGATTAATAATTGACTTCAAGAGGTTTACCAAGTAAAGACTATCCACAGAAAAGGAAGACTTGCCGAAACCGGTTTGACTCAGTGGTAGAGTGTCGGTCTGCGGACTGAAAGGTCCCAGGTTTGATTCCGGTCAAGGGCATGTACATTGGTTGTGGGCACATCCCCGGTGAGGGGTATGCAAGAGGCAGCTGGTTGATGTTTCTCTCTCAACGACGTTTCTAGCTCTCTTTCTCTCTCCCTTCCTCCTCCCTGTAAAATATCAATAAAATATATTTTAAAAAAAGAAAAAAAGAAAAAAGAAAAGAAAAGAAAAGGAAGACTGGCTATTCTGAGTTCATTTCTCATGAGGCCCTAGGGAATAATATAAGCAAATAAAATATATGGAAGCCACAAACCCATAGCAAAATAAAAACTGCAATACATCCCTTCCCCTCTCCCCCCGTCAAACTCTCCTTGTTCTGTTAGTGTTTTTTCCTTCAGTTAAAAATAGAAACATTTCAAATGTGGACACAGAACCTATCAAAATGATTAGAAACCCCGTACTGCATGACTAAGATGCCATCTTAACTGCAAAATGAGTAGGTAGTAGAGAAACCCAACTTTAAGTCATGAAAGTAGTCTATTCACTCCATCCCTGGTGCTTTCAACTATCAGAACAGTTGAACTGACCCTTTGACCTGCAATTTCTAATAGAATCAAGATGTTTCTAAAAGTATTCTGCTGTGGAATTAGAGCTTCAAGAAACAGTAAGACCACCTCCTCTGTCCCCTTCCCCCTTCTGAATAAATTTCAGTAACAGGAGGCAAATATCCAAATGGAACTCAAGAGCCTTTTGATAATCCCCGAATCCTTAGAGAACAACACATTAGCTTTCTATCACTAGTCAATAAGAGATATAATCAATGTTGGAACAATGACGGTTAACAATTTAAGAGACTTCTGTACTAGTATATGTGTGTGTATGTGTTTAACAGAAATGAAAAACACAAAAGAAGTAAAGGGATGTTACCAGGGCTTTACTTCTCTTTCTTACTCCAACTGGGTATTTTCATGTTTCATAAATTGCATAATCCTGAAAACATCAGGAAACATCAGATAAAAGAATAAGTAGCTTTAGGTGTATTATTTATGGTCATAGACATGTAATCATAGTTTATTCCAATTTTAAGATAAATCTAAAATCTATATACTTAAAAAATTATATTTTTGGGGGTAACATTGGTTGATAAAATTACATAAATCTTAGGTGTACAACTTAGTAACACAACGTCTGTATCTACTCTATTGTGTGTCTACCATACAAAGCCTGATAACTCTTCTGTCACCTTATATTTGACCCCTTTCACCTTCTTTGCCCTCTCCTCATCTCTTTTCTCTCTTGGTAACCACCATTCTGTTGCCTTATCTTTGAGTATGTTTTGAAAATCTAGATTCTCTTATTGATGCTCCCTTGATTCTGATACCTCCTTTAATGTAAATATCTGTGTTTTCCGATGGTCTTAGGCTCTACA